TGATCTTATTCTTGATTAGAATTTTAAATATAATAAACATGACAAAACAATAGAAAGCATAATCAACAAAATCATTAAAAGGAAAACTAACCAAATATTCAAACCAAAACATTTTTTAAATACCTAATTCCCTACACCAAACATTTTTACTTTATAGTGCTAACTTAGAAAAGATTTTGGTAGAAGACACATTTTTTTTAGTGCATTAGTAGCAACTTCTTTCAATTCCTTCATTCCTTTTCTCACTTCAACACCTTATTATTCTTCCATTATATTTTTTCAATTATCAATCATCATCAAGGGTAATATAGTTTGAACTAGCAGTGCCATCTTAATCTTAGGAGAAAATCATTCTTTAAAAAAAAAGACAACATATTACTTTTTTATCTAGTCATAATTAAATAAGTAACAATAAAATACTAAATAAATATTTTTTATCTTACTTTTCTTAAATTTCTCAATCTATTCAATATCTTTTATGAAAAATATTGAAAAAGGTGATCATTTGAGCCAAACTTATATACAAATAAATGCTTCTACTTATTTTGGTGTAAGTCAACTACGATATTAATCTAGAACTCATTCTCTAGTACTAAAGACACATTCGGATGACACCATGAAGATAGGCATAGCCAACGCCTATCTCATAATGCTCCACTCCTAAACTCTTCAAAAATGGCATTCAAACTTGTTTCTATACTTTTTTTTCCAACTCATTTACCTTGAATAAATTAAAATTTTGATCAATGAACCAACTTGGATACTTCAATTTGTATATAGGGTCCAACACAAAAGCAATTAATAATAACACATTTGAGTTTTCAAGATTCTCCCAATACTTATCATGTTTTTTCTACATCCTTCTCGTCATGTCTCTTATGTTTGAGTTTACATTTGTGAATTGACACATTTATCTGGTTGTTAACACAATTATAAAAACCTCTGCCATATACATGTTGCTAATAACGTAAGATGAACCAAATATGCGCAAAGTGATTTCCTAAAAATTTTTCACAAAGTTTGAGATTTCACATGCATTATACCAATCTAACAAGAAAAGTAGAACTTTTCCCTTTTCAAATTCTTCAAAATACTTGGTTTTGTAATTTGATTTCCTTTCAGTTCTTAATAATTTGCACTTTTATTCTCCGATTTAAGATTCATACGAGAAAGAGGGGAACTAGAGAGGAGACTTCGAAGAATATTTTTTTTAACTGGTTTTAATATATATATATATATAT